CCGCAGACACCGTGCTTGTGCCCCAGGATCACAATTACATTTGCTGTTGTTTGTGAGAGGGATCTGAGCCACCACAGTCCAGCATTCTCTCTGCACACATTCATTCCTTTCCCTCAAGTCACAAACCCTCTCATTCTCTCCAATCCTCCCCCCAGTTGTGGCACTCATTGTCTGATTGCATGCTCGGATTACACAATTACATTTTCTCATGCTAATTGGATAATTAAGGCAAGCGATTACATGGGAAAAATTATGAAATTTCCAGGCTCCAAATATGATTTCAGGGCCCAGCAAGGTGCCCCCACTGTCCCCCTTGGGGAAGCCAACAGGAGCTCCAGGCACAGAGGCAGGGGTCTCTCAGCTTCCTAGCACTCCCCTACTTCCAAAGCTTCTGTCCTCATGGCCCATTAGGACACTGGGACTCTCTAGACCAGGGAGCCTGGTTTGGAAAGTGTGACTTGGCAGATGTGGGCCTCAGAGCCCCTGTTACAGGGCACCTGCCTGCAAGTGCCACTGGCTTTGAAGAGTTGGAGCCTGAGCTGTGGCTCTCATGTGCTTCTAGAAGCCCAGGCCCAATGTCTTCCCCAGTGGCTGCCAGTGTGCCGGGCAGCACCCAGCTGTGTGGATGGGTCTGAGGAGGAGAGGCTGGAGGCAGCGGCTTGTTCTCCTCTTCCTCTATGCTCAGAACTCTGGCTCCTGCCCCTTTCCTCAGAAATCCTATAGCCTGGGAGAGAGGTTGCAGGCCACTCTCTTCCCCATTTCACCTTCCTTTTGTCTCCTGCAGAAGAGGACTCAAACCTTGGCCTCCTCCAGGAAGCCGTCTTGGATTAGCTCTGCTCTGGGCATCTCCCATGGTATGCCCCAAATCTTGTCCATCCCACAGTTTGTCCACCACAGGGTCCTCCTCTCCAGACCTTCCAGATGGCCTGGGAGAAACCTTGTCTACCCACTGGCTGCCTCTACCCTGCCATTATGGAGTCCACAGGCTCCCACATAGTGTATGCACATTTGCAAATTCTGTCTTATTTCAAATGCACCAAGGGAGCTGGCTATTTAAGGAATACTATAGAAGATCCTTTGGTAAAGATTGGAATCACTTTCTGATTTATTTTGTGTAATTTCGGATTTGCATCTCTCTAGGGGAGAAGAGGGGGGTGAGAGAGAGGCTGCGGGCAGGTTTATATCTTTCCATAGCCTGTTGTACTGGACCCTGCATCTTCCTGCATGGCTCAACATGTCTAAATTTTATCTTCTTCATTCAACAGACATATATTTGAGGCCTTCTGTGTATGAGGCTCTGTGTGCTGGAGGTGGGGGATACAAGGACAGAAGAGACCCATTCCTTGCCTCTGACAGTCGGTGAGAGGGAAACAGACATGTGCTGGGTGCATCCACATAGATATGTTCCAGGGGAGTAATAGTTGCACAGAGGGAGGTGGGATTGTCTCTGCCCAGGGCTGGGGAAAGCTGGGAAGTCTTCATGGAGGAGGTGGTTTTTAACCAGTGTTTTGAAGGATGAGTTGAAGGGTGGCGGGTAGTGTGGCTGGAGTGGAGGATGCAAAGTGGAGAAGGCTGGAGTAGAAGCAGGGCCAGGCCATGATGCCCTTGGATGCCGGGCTGAGGAGGCTGGTTTTAATTCCAAAAGGATGGTCAGAGGAGAGACTCAACCTCCCTTTTATCAAGGAAGACCCCTTTGGCGTTGGCATGAACGGACCCCAGGAGTGGGACAGGATGGAGGAGATGAACTATGAGTTCTGAACCACGGGCTGGAGGAAGGTGAGAGTCTGAACTGCGTTGGGGTCAGCGGAGATGCAAAGGAGGGGTGGATTTTGGAGATATTTCCAAGGAAGAACGGAAATAACAAGGGGGCTTATTTGGTGGGGGTTGGGGGGAGGAGGGAGGTGGGAGGGGAAGCACATCGGCAGGTGGGGAAAGGGGCAAGATGTCAGGGAATTCCTGACTTGTGAGCTTAGTTTCTCTATGGACTAGAATTTGGGTCACCTGCCGAGAGTGAGAACTTGGGAGTAGAGGTGGAGGGAGGGCCAGCTGAGTTTGTGGCATCCATGGGTGTTTCCTTCCGCTGCCCAAGACTGCCAGGACCAGAAGAGAGGAATGGAGGTTGGAGTGACCCAGGCTGGGGAATAGGGCTGGGTGCTGTGGAAGGGCAAGGTCTGGACAGTCCAAGGATGTTGGCAACAGTATCACTCAGTGTAGTCCAGGCTGGGGGAGCAGGGTGGAGAAAGGAGGGAGGAGAGGAAAGGCCTGCTGAGCACTGCAGTGGAGCACGGAGAGCTGGGGACAAACCCACCCCACCAGTTGTGCGACGCCAGCCAGGTCTTCTCCGTGTTCACTCATTTCTAGAATGAGATGATGGTACCTTCCTCAGGGGCTTAGATGTGCAGACCTACGAGGGCTTGACCCAGGAGACCTTCAACAAGTTGGACTGGAAACTGCCAATGCAACAGAAGTTGCTGACTTGGAGTCATTGTTCCTTTCCTTATTCACCTTGGAGCCCTGGTGTCTGCTTGGTGCTTGGCACATAGAAGCACCGAGCAGATGTTTTAGGCGGCAACACGCAGTGACGGCAGAGACACAAGCTTTACCACCTGCTCGCTGTGGGATTATGCTGAGCTCCATTGTCTCCTCTGACAAATGGAGAAGATGGCGGTACCTGCCTCAGAGGTCATGAGGATTCGATGCTGCAATGCACGCGAAGCAGATGCTGTTGATGGCCCAGCCCTATCCCCTTCCTGGAGACCTGATGGCCTCTTACTGCCGCACCTGCGAAGCTCTGCCCGGAGGTTTTCTCTGGTCACAAGAGTGTGCTCTGCACCTATGCGGGCCACAGAAGCCAAGGAGTCAGCTCCCCCACGAACCAAAGGCAGGAGTCAGAGCGCACAGATCCAGCTTCTTTGCCTCTCAGGGGGTACAACTCAGGTGTATTCTCACAGCCTCCCCGGGCACCCAGCAGGATCAAAGACTCCCAGTTGCCTGCAAAGGCAACCTGCTCATTAATGCAGTTTTGTCTTCCCTCCCTTCCTTGCTCACTTCCTCACCCCTCACCTGGCATGTCCTGGGATCACCTCCCAACTACACATGTGCACTTGATTCCGTGTCTCAGGGTCCACTTCTGGGAAACCCAATCCAAGAGAGCATGTAAAGAGCTTGACAGAAAGAAGACGCTTGATCCGTGTTAGCCAGCTCACTAGACTGAGAGCTTCACGAGGGCAGAGAGGACCACTGTGAGACGATCTCTCCTTGGGGCCAGGTCCTGGCAGAGAAGGCACCCAGTACACATGTGTTGAATGGATCAACATGGACGTGTTTCCTTCTGCCACCCCGTCCTTTGGATCCTCTCATTCCCTATCCCACTCTCCTTTCTCCAGGTCCTATGTTTTCTTTCCTGGCCCTCCTTTTCTCCTCTCCTCCCCTCCTTTCTCCTCTCATGGAGGAAAGGTGCTCTGTGCCCAAGATGTCCCTCTAATTCTTCCCGAAAGCCCTGCTCTGAAAGTGAGCCCTCCGGCAGCATTGTGACATCACTGTGCATCAGCCAGTGGCTGCCGACCGGGGCTGGGCTCTTGGCCTCCTGGGACCATTGTCCTGGCTTTCCATTGACAGGGAGAAGCCACCTTCTCCTGTAGGGCCCCTTAACCCTCGGGCAGCTGCCAGAGCATGGATGCCTCCTGATTCCGCCCTCTGCCCGATGTTCCTCACGGTCAAGCTCCTCCTTGGCTGGAGATGCAGCCTGAAGGTGTTGGGGCAGGAGAGCGTGGCCATGCTCAAGAAGCTGGTGTCGAAGCGGCTGCAGGTGCCAGAGGAGCAGCAGCACCTGCTCTTCCGCGGCCAGCTTCTGGCCGATGACAAGCATCTCTCCGACTACTGCATCGGGCCCAATGCCTCCATCAATGTCATCATGCGGCCTCTGGAGAAGACGGCGCCCGAGGAGGCCCACCAGTCCCAGCCGCTGTGGCACCATCTGGGCCAGGTCTTAGCCAAACACTTTGGGGCTCAGGATGCCAAGGCAGTGCTGCAGCTGATGAGGCAGGAGCATGAGGAGCGACTGCAGAGGATAAGCCTGGGGGACCTGGAGCAGCTGGCACGGTACCTCCTGACCGAGGAGCCACTAGTGGAGCCCCCAGGGGAGAGGGAGCCTGAGGCCACGACCTCAGAGCTCCGAGACCAGGAGGAGGAGGAGGAGGAGGAGGAGGAGGAGGAGGAGGCGGCGGCGGAGGAGGCTGATCAGTAAACTGCTCGTCCTACTTGTTTGCATGCTCAGATTCGCCTGCCTCATCCTTATGTGTTCCCTGACGAGTCCGTACTGGTTCCTGTGATGTAGATACATCCTCACCCCTTTGTGAAACTTCAGAGCAGCTGGACCCCTCTGTCGTCTCTTGGGCCTGTGGTTCCCCATGTGAAACACAGAATGAGTCCACCCCCATCACCATCCCCTAGAAGGAGTTTGATTGCCCCATGGGCAGCCCGGAAGGGGCTGGGCACCTGTGCCTGAACATGCCCAGCAACCCCCCAGGGGGTCAGCAAACATCCAGGCTCGGAGTTTCCATAGTTCTAGACAGACCCTCTTTCTCCTTTGGGACAGAAAGACAGACAATGTGAGTTCATTTTCCTCCATCCTCACGCCATGGCGTCTACCCCCAAGACCACCGACAGCCAAGAGTTGAGGAATGTCAGGTAGCTTCCCCTTGCCCTCCGGGTGAGGCTGTCCCTGCTGTCTGCCTGTTGCTGTTTCCACGACTTAAGGGACAGGAACAACAGAAGCAGGAGTGGGAGGAGAGCACCTCCTGTGTGCTAGGCCTGGGGCTCTCAGGGAGACACACACAGACTAGGAATAGCAGGAAGCTGAGGCCTAGGCAGCAAAGGCTGTTTGCACAGTCACCCACTCCCTGTGGCCAACGTGGACGGAGCCATGTCCCACCCCTGCCCCAAGTCTCATCAATCAGTCGGTGTCACTGACCCCCATTTCCTGCCCAACACTGCCCAGGCTCCCCAGGAGCAAAACTGGTACCAGTCGGGGTCCTTGTCCTCACGGAACATGCAGCCGAGATGGAGAGACAGGGCATAAATGTGACAAGTAAAGCAGCCACATAAAATTAGAGTCCAGGGCCGGCCCTGTAGCCTAGTGGTTAAGTTTGGTGCGCTCCACTTCAGTGGCCGGGGTTTGGTTCCCAGGCGTGAACCTACACCACTCATCAAGCCATGCTGTGGTGGCGACCCACATACAAAATAGAGGAAGACTGGCACAGATGTTAGCTCAGGGCCAATCTTCCTCAGTGAAAAACAAACAAACAAAAAAACTAAATGAGACTAAATGCCCAGGCAGCAGCCGCCACATGCAGGGCCCTGGGCTCGGCCTAGAGAGCCAGTCCCCGCAGACGACAGGACAGCCAAGCCCTTTTCTCTATTCTTGGTGTGAGAGGGTGGCCCTTGCCAACGGCTGAGGACCCCCACACCCTGTGTATGAGGGGGTAGGGAGCTGACTGAGAGCCTGGCCCCCCAAAATCCCTGAAGTGCTGTTCCTGCAGTCATGTACATCCGGGGTGATGGAGACAGAGGGAAGGAGTGAAGGACGATGTCTTGAACAAGCAGATCCCACTTCCCTGGGAGGCATTCTGTCCTTGGCCCTGTCCCTTCCAGTCCTGGCTCGGCTGTTGCCTTGCTGCGTGACCTTGTTAACCTCTGTCACCTGTCTGATGCTCAGGGTTTTCCTCTGTTAATGGGGATTACTATAATGGTATCTACTCACCCCATTCGTGTCTGTGGGGGTTGGATGTGAAGACGGTACACCTGAGAGTGGGGGCTCCTAGGAGTGGGGTCAGCCACAGTGGCAGGGAGAGACCCCAGAAACCATGTCTCTGGCTCTGTGAGCCTGCTTAGTAGCAGTCGTCCTCCCCACCCCCAGAGCGAGGGACACCCTCATTCAGCTAACGACCATCTCCTTTACCAATGGCCCAGCCCCTGCCCCCTCTACTAAGAGGAGAGGAGAGTCGGGGTCTCTGAGGACATGAGCTACATCAGGTATGACCTCTCCTGGGGCACTGAGGACTCCGCATGGGGTGTCTGCGGCCAGCACCTGCAGATTCAGGGTGGGGGAGCCCCAGCCTGTTCCTCAGTTCCTGTCCAGGTCCTGGTCCTGCTCCCAGGCCCTCCGTCCTACACAGGAGAGGCTCCTGATGGTTCTGTGAGCGCTTTGAGCTGGGGCTGTGCCATTTGTCAAGGGGGACGAGCCTATTATCTTTACGTTACGGGATCTAATAGCCCATTTCCCAGGAAATCTGTAAGCGATAAAAGTAAGTGAGCCATTTTATTCCTTTTGCTGAGAAGCTGGCATGAAGGACTGGGGAAGCCTTTGTTTTCTGTCTAGTTAGCAGGAGTGTCAGGGCTGGCCAAGAGCAGCGCCCCCACTGCTCTGTCCCCAATGCTGCAGGAGAGGGTGACTCCGGTCCCAAACTGGGAGGAAGGAAAGTTGTTCTGCCCTTCCGTGCCCTGGTTGCCTCCCACTGCTGACCCCACCCTTCCCAAGGGCCCTGCTCCTGTCCCTTCCTAAAAAAGCCGAGCACAGGAGAGGATGCACCAGCACTTGGGACTTTGTGAGAACTGCTCCTGTTTGTTACCTCTCCCAGGGATGTTCTACTCAAAACTGTGTTCCTCACTATCAGGTGACAGGCTTTGTCCCCTAATGGATGAACTTACAGGTATCAGGGGACAGCAGGTGGGGGTGTATTGGGAGGCTGGGGCAGAGCAGCCCTTCACACTACAGTGGTGGCTTAGAACCGTCTTCTGTTGGAGACTCCTAGCTCTTGGGTTGCCTGCAGGGAGATCCTTCCCTGTGCTCAGTTTCACCGTATTTCAAGTTGAAACCTGTGCCAGCAAACCAGCTGAAAGCTCCCTGTTCCCATCTCTGCTGTCACTGCTTGAGGGACGGTGGGAATGCGGAAGGCACTCTTTCCAAACTACAGCCTTGGGCGTGTAACTTTGCTGCCTAATTCCCCACAGCACCTCTGTCCCACCATGAGAGGAAACAGGTCCCTACAGGTAACAACTTTGCTCGAGTAAAAGGCATCTCCGGACAGCCACCACATTCAGTTTTCCAGCTTTGCGTTCTTATCCACAGGGAAATCTGGCTTCTCCTCCTAGCTCCTTCCTGTGTCACCTGCAGGCCAACACCCTCCGTCCTCTGGTCCCTGGTAAAGTAGTCTTTCTGATGGAAACAGGCACAGCATCTTGTTCATGTGCTATTTCATCAATCCTTTATTCTTCGATCACTAAACACTGATGGTGGTCCTACTGTGTGCCGGGCTTCGTGCTAGGAACTTAGGTTGGTAGCTGAGGAGGCTTGTCTCCCTGAGAAGGTGTTTAGAGGGAAGCGTGCCCTCTGCCGTCCCTCGCTGCGTGGTGCAGCGGAGGGGCTCAGGGAAGCCCCTACGTCCTGCCACAGATCATGCTGGAGATGTGATGTGTTGGTAGCTAGTGGCATCGCTTTGGCCTGTAATCCTGAAAGATGGGGCCGGAAATGGTCTCTCAGGATGAAAATTCTTGCAGATGTTGGAGAAGCGGGGGAACTTATAATGTCCCAGGGGCTCCAGAAATCCTGGATGCCTGACTTATTAGTTTAGAAGCAAGTCACAGGTCCCACCCACATTCAGAGAGAGGGGATCTCACAGAGGCCCGGACACGAGGGGGTGGAGATCATGGGGCCCACCACATGGTGGCCTTGCAGCCTGTCCACCACAGCAGGTGCTGGTTTTGTCATTATATATTTTTATGTGCGTGAAATCACTGATAATAAACCAATTAAAGTGTTACGTTCAGCCGAGAAGCCATGGGAGCATAGATGAGTGGTTGCTCCAGCTGAGTCTCAGGGAGGCTTCAAGTAGAAGGTAGCATTTGAGCTGGAGAAGGATGGGAAAGGGGGGCAGTCGAAGGGCACCTGAAGGACTTTTCCTGACACCCAGAGGTCCACATGTCACACCTGGAGAACTGTCACTTGGCTCAGCACACTCAGCATCTCTCCTTGCTGGCTGCCTCATGACACCTAGAGATACAGAGACATGCGGACACATCTAAGGTGCACCCCCACAAACACATAGACAACCCCCGAACACCTCACACCCATAGGGTGGGGTCTACAGTGGTAGAGCCAGGTTTGCAGAAGTGAGCTCTAGGCTCTGTGCAACTTGCAGTGTCCAGGTCCAGACCTTGCCTTTCAGGCTTCAGGCTGCTGGAGCCCAGCTGACCGGGCCTGGCCCAGGCAGCCTGGCCAGAAGATCCCACACAGCAAATTCAAGGACACACAGGGAAGACTTTGCAGAGCCAAGCCCAGAAACTGCTGGCGCTGCTGGAGGGGGTGGCCTGGACCAGCTTTGCTGTGTTCAAGTGATGCCTCATTTACTCAGGACAGGGATGTTCATAGGACACATGGGGACTTGGAGATGGACACGTGAGTGCACGCATTTGTGCACTGGGTGGCAGTTGGGCTTTGCAAGGGTGCATGCACGTGCACATCAGCCCACATATGTCTGAGGACAGAGACCCCCTTCTCTGTGTAAACTCTTCCAGGTGGCACACTTGCCTTGCAGATCCCTGCCCCAGCCTGCATCGCTCTCCCTGTGCTCTGAGCTGGGCTTGGGTGGCTGCCAGCCTGTGGCAGAGGAGTGGCCAGAGGGCAGGCTGCCCGGGGTTAGGGTCCTGCTGCCGAGCTAGCTGTTGCTCAAGGAGATGGCTAAGGTTAGAACAGCTGCAAAGCCTGGCTCTTGCCCTCTGGAGCAGATGGTGTTCCCACCGGCTGCCTCGTCCCACTCCTCCCCTCTTGGGTCACCTGTCTCCTCTCCCTGTCCTTTCTGTGTTTCTTCCTGTCCCCCTTCTCTGCCTTTCCCCTCCTGTTCTCTCTGACCACATTTGGGGCTGAGTTGGCTGCATTGTGGGACATCTGGGAGCTTCCTTTTAGCTCTCTCTCTCTCTTTTCCTTCTGTCTCTCTCCGCCCACTCCCTGCCCCCCTTCTCTTTCTTCCCATTCTTTCAGTCATGGTCCTTCTATTAAACACCACCACTAGCTCGTCTCCTTGTCTTCCTTCTCTTGTGTTTACCCAGACTTACCCAGCAGGCAGGCACAGACAGGGACCCGGAACCCAGTGCCTTTGAACATGTCCTGACCCCCCACCCCACCTGCCCACATGTGCAGTACTA